ACGATGAACAACAGGGAGAGGCAGGACGAAGTGTCCGTAACACCACAGCTGGACTAATATTAGTCAAATCTGATATCTAAAGAGATAACTTTTTACATTTGAACAGAGCAGAGACACATGCAGAAAACTTCAGTAAAAATAGTTTCTTTAAAATGTCAGTTCTAATATGCTAATTTTCATATTTAAATCTGCAATGCTGTTTTCCATGATTGCCCTCCACAGGCACATCAGAGGTCAGGATCAGCTATACAACAGCTTGTAGAGACTCTTGTCTTTTTCATGGGCCATTTACCAGCACACATGTTTCCTGTTGCAGAGTCATGAACTCGGCCAGCCATTTGAAAGGTGGCGTCCCTACTCATTACACCCCCTGCTGCCACAAGTACATCAGTAGATGTCTGGACAGACTCCAGCAATGTCAACACAGTACAACAAATATTTAGCCGATCGATGATACCCCAGACTAGATTAACAACTGCGGTGACATTTTCTAGACAGTTAGCTTGAATTACAATCAACCAATCATAAATCTGTCACTGCCATATTTTTCAATGGTATTGTTCGGATTTAGGTTTTCGTGTGAATTTTGGCAACTGAGGCACAGTATTATACCAAGTCCAGGCCTCCCCCCGATTATGTTGCCATAATTTCTCTCCTACACTTGTTTATTCCTCACTGGTTCTTAAACTCTCATATCAAACGTAATGTTCTCCTCTTGAAAGACTGACACACCTTTACGCTTCAAAGTGTGTTGTTTCTTTTCTGTTAGGTATGTAAAATACTAAACAGCCATTTTGACGCTTTCGGTTTTTTATCTCTGTCAGTTTGTGCCTCTCCCACACTCCTCGGTGTGTGATTCACCATCACAGCTACACGAATGGGTATTCCCCTAGTATGAGGATGCAAACCGTAGTCACATTTTGTTGATAACTTTCACATTAACTCAATCCATGCAATTTGTTTTTCTCTGTTTGTTTCATTAGTATTTGAATAGAAACTGTATGGTTTGTCCATCGACTAAATAAATAGAACTAAACAGACTATTTAGACTTTAAGGTGACTATAGATTAAATGATTGACATTTTTCTGACTGATAATCACCAAACCTCAATGCTGCTATGATAAATGATTTGATTTAAGGTTTGGTGGTAGGAATTATTCATAAACTGACATCTAGTCACAGCGATTTGTGGTGATTCATTCATTATTCAAATCAGTACTTTCCATTTTCAAATGTAGTGTAGTATTTTTGTAATTGCAACAGAACTATAAACTCTTAAGCTTTTCTTTATCTTCTCAATTACGTGACCAGTTACATGATATTTGTATGCTTGTAAAGTTTATATCTGCCACACAAGGAAAGGAAAGGGTTTTTTAAAACTATTCTTTTATTTTCACATTCAGAGTCACACATTAAAAGACAAACAAATGTACACTTTCACCCTCCTCCATCACACACCCTCCCCAATCCTCCCACATCTTTCCTCCACCCACCACCACATACAGTTCACATTACTTACTTCCATTTTATGTTCGCGGAAAGTAAAGAAAGATTTATAACCGCAGAAATAAAATAACACAAGAAGAGTTTAAAGAAACAAACATTAAATTCTTTTAAATATGGGCTTTTGGTAAAACTATGTAATAAATATATACATATGTGTGCAGTCCAAAATATACAATATGACCACAAGATTAGATGTTATTTTATATATTTAGTTCTATGAATGATAGAAGAAATGTTATGTTTGATACTCATGAACATGAATTTAAAATGAAGCGCTTAGATGTGATAATATTTATAAACACTAATAGTCTAGTTCCTTGGTAACTGCATAGATAATGAAACAGTTCCCAGTCTTTCAACTTTCAGCTGCTGAAATGACATAATTTCCAACAGTTTAAACACTGACACAGCAGCTTTAAGTACTCTCAGGTCTCGTTGTAAAGATACACATTTGAAATCTTCTGCTGCTTTTCAGTCGACTAGTAAATCCATATTTTAAGAAAAAGCTGTACAGTAAGCCTTGCATTAGTATTATGAGCAAATACTGTACAATTACAACTGTCCTTATGTAACGTTTTTCTCAGCTTGAGGCCGGCACAGATGATCAAAAATAAAAAGGCTTTTTTTGTGATGGCCTAAAATGTCTAATTTCACATAATTTTTTTGCAATGAAATTTAAAAAAATTTAAAATCACTGCTATGGTAAAATTTGCAGAAAAGTTGCAGTGATTGGACTAAAATGCGCAGAATTTACGGGGATTGGTTGAATTTGCGTTAATTGTGGCGATTGCAACATCACATCTTCCTTGAGGGACTGATCTATTCTTACTGTATATGTTTGCAAGTAAGATCTATTTTAATGAATGTATAATGTTTATATGCCACAATATGATGTACTGGAGAATACATCCTATAAGAAGTAGACATCAACACACTTGCTTTACCTTCACCTGTTTATTACATCTATATGACATAGTCATTAAAACATAATGACTATATTTTAATAAATCAATTTTATACTTCTCATGACATCTGTCTGGTTAATTTTCATTCTTTTGAGACATGTCTACTGTCAGCAGACATGGTATGCATTTTAAGATAGTTATCCTCAGTGTATAAAGTGTATACTGTTCCTGCTTTTATTGGGGAGTGTTATGACCCAGCTCTGTAACAGGGAGCTTTACAGTGTCTCGGCGCGAGTCCCAGCGCTTTTGACTTTTCTAACCCTGAGCTCTGAGTATGATCCTAGCTGAGAATATCATTGATCCAAGATTAACTTCATCAATGCACTATGTGGCTTTTGATTCCCCCTAACAAAGCTGTGATGGATTTACTATATGAAAAACTTTCTGCGGTGGAACCAGCCGTAACTATCATCCTGCAGTTGAAATAACTTAAATGAGAAACGTGTGTATGTGCTGGTTCACCAGCTCACTGGAGGAACAGACATTGTGTGAGCTTTGTAATCATATTATTATATCCCAAATTTATGACATCATCATTCCCAGATTTTGCACGGGTGGGGTTCACAAGAAAATCATTCAACAAGGTTGAGAGGCATTTGGTCAATTTAATTAGATCAAACTAATTCCAACCTCTCAAGTAACATTTAAATCTTCTGTACTTCTACGTGCCATTGTTTCATTTTACTTTTGTCCACAAATTTACACATTAGGGGTAGGTACACATATTCACCATTATCTAGTTACCTATTGGCATGCATATTAGTAGCATATTGACTATTTATTAGTCATTAAAAGGCACTTATTTTAACATAGCCTTATTTTGCATGGTTATATTCTACAACTACTAGGCCAATAACTAAGAGTTTTCCCTCAACAGCCTCCTAATTAATGCTGAGTGATAGTAAGTTAAGAGGTTGTACATAAATTACAATCTTAATATGCTTTGCTCAGTATGGGCCTTATAAGGTGGTAGTACCACAAGAATACTCATTCTCCCTTAATAACACTTAATAACTGTGGTCTTTTCTTATGTAACAAAACTACATGTGTTAATAGTGTCTAAATAACGCTAAATTAAGTCTTTCTAACTCAGAATATGTTCCCCATTCTAAAGTGCCCATACGATAATGTGAATATGTCTACCTGAATATAAAGTGTTTCCGAACATTTATTAAAAACCCATTCTTTAAACGGAAACTTTCTTAATAAACACAATTAACACAGCAAGCGGCTGTCAATCATTTCATGGTCACAACTTTTCACGCTTTGTGCCCCGCCCCCACAGCAGGGTCCCTGAGGGAGGCCGCCCACCATGTGAGAATGTCCTGTAGATTAGTGTGAGCGAGTCCGTCACTCCCCAGTGAACATCAAGAGTCAGCAACCTCAACACTGCCCTGCCCTGTCACAGCTACTGTGATACCAGCTCTGATCTAAACCACCATAACATGATATCTTTTGAATATTGATATATATGTTATTCTATGTGAGTTCTGCATGTGATTGACTTGTCTTTTATTGTTTGGCTGAATTTCAATATTGCATTCATGTGCTGTTGTTTCTACTCTTTGTATTATAATGAAATTAAAAGGGCAGAGGGTGTCACAGAGAGGGAGCGAGAACCGAGCATTAAGATGTGGGAAAATGTTGCACGCTCAAATGTTGACTACCTGTTGCTATGGCAATGGGTTTGGATCCTGCAGGCTGCAGGACTCTTGCTATTTCTAAATAAAGCTTTTTTTCTCACTGATCAGTGGATGAAGATACTCTCAGTTGAAACTAATCTTCTGAATTTTACCAGTCTCTGTGTAAACACTGGTGCTCTGCACTCTAATACTTACCCCTAAACCTCCTAAACAGCAGTTACAGGATTAGAAATAAGACGAGGCACAACAGAGGACACATGCTTTGCTACTGATGGATTATTTTACTGGAAGAGTCAAATATAAATGACAAAATGAATATCGCCAAACAAATCATCACAGTGTATGTGAATCAATGTGGCATACACTATGTGCTATGACTAGAGCTATAAGATTTTTATTGACACTATGTACTATGGTCAACTCTAAAAACTCATGTGACAGCAGCAGTATTTAAAAAAAAAAAAAAAAACAGTGATCAGTTCAGCTTCCTAGTCCTTTGTTCCACATATGACTACAAAGCAAACAAAATCTTCCTTTTTCCTTCAGTAATATAAACTCTAATACTGCAGTTATTCATTAGATTACTGAAATAGGGGGATCATGTTGTCTTACCAACAGTTTAATGTTTTCATCCCTTTTTAAAAAAAAAAGATTATAATTGGTGAGTACAAAATATTTTGTATGTTCTGGGTAAGTCCACATCCCTAAAGACAAATACAGCTTAATGTTTTTATACTACTATAACATCCAGCAAACTGGGATTTTTGCTTAATGATCAGTGGAGATAAAAGAGGAAAAAAAGCCTCCTGTCCTGCATGTCTTTTGTCCTCACTGTCTAGTCTAGCTGTCTAGTAACACAGTACCTTTGTCACCCTGTGGGGGGAGCCTGTGTGTGTGAAGAAAAGAGGACTGAAATAGGTGCTGAGACCAGATATTTGATGCCTGATGGGGACTTCCATGCTTACCTCAAGTGGGTTTTGGGCCATTTCACAGACAACATATTTAGTCCTTTTTCCTCCCACTCAAGGATGCAGCCGTCTTCAGTAAGCAGCCAAGTCTATTAAACAAACATTCCTGTGTGCAATTTGCAGTGTGAGGTGCCTGACTGTGTGCTTCCTGGGGATGAGGGACTTTACCCTGACAAATATACAGTAGAAAATGCTTATGAAAAATATCTGCGCTTCACATTGGGTTACATGATGTCTGTTTCTAGGCAACAGGAAGTTAATATACAATTAATAATATGGGAAATTGCTACCTGGAAATCTACTCAGTGGTTTAATTTGCTTGGGAACTGTCTTTTGTCTGGGAATTGTCTCATCAGATTTTAATATAAAAGATCTTCGAGATATTTGACTTTGACATATTTTAACCAACAATTTTGATGTAGTGAAGCTTCCTGTAAGGTTACATTTTACATTACTAGCGGCACGTATGATTGTCTTTCCCCAATCATCACCTAAGTCTCCATGTTTATTGGATCTATGCATGCTGTAACACTTATATGTCTATTCTAGTTAAATTCAGCAGTTTAGACTATAACAAAATTTGCTCCAAATAAAATTGGCTTGGGAATTAAATGGCATCTCTAGCCTCTCTCTAGTTGGTACAGTGGGTGCTATTTCAAGGACTGACCGCTGAGCTGAGCAAGCACAGAATATTTGGCTGTGGGAGCACAAAACTAAGGGAAGAGTGGCATTATTTCCCTTTGTAGGAAGCAATGTAATGTCCCCACTGTACTGTCTGTCTTGTCAAATTATTAACTATAGTTTTTTGTCTCAGATTTGATTTAACTGTCCTTCATAAATCTCCCAAATGCTTTGGCTGACTGACTCTGTGTCTGAATTATCAGGGCACTGGACTCAAGAAAGCACAGATACAAGGGACAACACTCACCGGTAAGTACTTTAATGACATAAGGTTATCTTCTACTTCTGTATGTTGTGTAAGCTGCACAATGTAATGTCGTAAATTATATATTTTTATTTGGACTAATTCCACAATATTATTTTGGATTTATACCTATTTAAGTTAACTTTATTATTATTATTATTATTATTATTATTAATCAATTAGACCCCTGGTCTGGATTTTATAGAAGTTCTTTGTATTTATAAAACATCTTAAAGCCCACGGGGTCGCACACTCAAGCGAGTTCTAAGCTGTCAAGATTGCCTTTTGTCAATATGGACATCCTAGACATTGTTAGATCAGTTAGATTCTCCACAGTTTAAATTGTTCCGTTCATTTTATGGAAACCAAGAGCACCAAAGTATCAAATGATCAAATGAATGACTCACAATTGATATGTCATTTGATAGTATTTTCTAAAAGTTGTGCGCAAAAAGGAATTAAACGCCTGTCCACACAATATGGAGGGACAATTATTTCTATTTGCATTGTATTTGTATGTCTTTGTACAACTACTGTCCCTTCCAATAAAGTATTAAATAAAATCTGTCCCATATTTGAATACTGCCTTGTTGTTGTCAAAAATCCATTTAATTCACTGGGTTTTTACATCCTCAGATGATAACAAAAGACTTTTGTGTTGGTTCTTGCAGCCAGCAACTGAAAACTTTGTGTGCTTTGCCCATAAATACGACATTTTCATGTTCGGGTGGGCAATAGCGAAAACAATAGTCAACAGCAAGGTGGATTCCTTATGTATTCCATGGGCAAGGATGGTCCCCTACCTGAAGGTGGTGCTCTGCTAAACAAGCCCCATAGGATGTCATATGGAGAGGCTAATTGGACGGGCTTTTTGGAACACATATTTCCTGATAGATGGATAAAAAAAACAGGAGATAATGGTAATTTCTCATATTTTTTAGATATACCAGCATAACATGTATGTTGAAATGCCACAAATAAGTGAGTGTTGCATAATATCTGATAAAGAAGATTTATCCAAAGAAAAGTGTATCCCATTGCTAGGAATTCAGGGTTACAATTTTATGGATCTTATTGACATCTAAAAAAAAATCTACATGCATGAAGACGTTTTTGAGTCATTGATCTTTAGAAACCGTAAAATGAAAATAATTTAGCCCACTGTTTTAGTGGCAACATTTCGATAATCATATACAGTATATTGCTATGTAATATCATTCACCAATCTCAGCTCTTCTGATTCAGATTCTTTGTACTTCCATGCAGACTATTCTGCTCCAACCCCGCCAAAGAAGACTGGCTTTCACCGCTACCAGTTCATGTTGTTTGAGCAGCCCCCATACGGACCATTGTCACTCACAGAGGAGGAGAAGTCAACCCGTGGTAATGACTCCACAACACTGCTGGCCACTGCAGTATCATCTATCATATACCAACACAACTGCCAGCAGTTAGTTGTTGAATCAGCAATAGAAAGATTACACCAAGGCATTAAAACTCAAGGCCAAAACATTTCCTTTCAAATTAACCACATAATAGGTTATTTGGGGTTATAGATTTTGTGTTTTAGAAACCTTTTATGGGCTACTGGGGTTATTTTCTAAGCATTAGTGAGTAGATTATTCTATTTCCTCACATACAAGAGGAAGTTGTGTCATTTTACAACCTTAGATTGATTTAGGTTCTGCATCATTTGTTTGAGTGGGCTTAATACTTTATTTAGGGTGAAATGTTTCCATATTAGGTCTCAACAAATGTATCTGTGACACTACTGAAGCTGCTATTATTAGTGATTTGATTCATGTGATGTCCTAAGACATTCCAGCCGGACTCTATCTCTCTAACTATCTGTCCTCTTTAAGCCCAGGTTTTGGTCTGGACACATGTCATTATGCATAATCCACAAACAATTATCGGCATTTAATCGAAGCATTTGGAGTTGCTTTAGAAAGATCTGCAAGTGCTTGAACCTAACAAGGGAAATGTTAATGAGGTTAGTGAGTAAGTCTGCTGCAGTGTTAATGCCTCCGGGGTCAAGACAAGTATTGTTGGCTCCCACGCACACCTGCACGAGTCTGCCTGACCACGTCTTGTTAACCCCCGCCAAACCAGAAATCCGTATCAATGTCAGTACACATCAGTTACATATACTTATAATCTTGATTGCTGTTGATATTATTACCAGATCATTTCCAAGTTTGTCTCTGAAAAGACAACTGTGTTTGTCTTGCAGAAACCAGAGTTATTGTTTTGTTTATACTTCAGGTTTTCTGACTTCTGAAGAAAAGTCTCTTGAAGGTGGGCAACTGCACTTGGATGTACAGTGGAGTACCTCACAGGGGGGAGTGCCCGTCTGTCTGTTCTACTCGGGTAACAGCGAGTGATTTGAGGGGAGATCGGGGCGGTTTGAGACTTCAAGCGCTGCAGCCGTGAATGAGTGAAGCTGCCAGTCTCTGCCGTTTGAAGTTTTGACAGCAATGTCAGCAAACAATCCAGGCACATTAGGCTGAGTTCTGTTTGATGTTGAAACCTCTGGAAAAAGAAATGTCAAAAGAGATGTACTTGTTATGTATTCAAACTCACATTTTGGGAGGTTGAGATGAGCTCTTATCACATTGATGGGGTATTCACTGTGTCAGAACTGGTTAAGTTGAAGAAAAATAATAGTATGAATAATAGCCTGCTGTTTAGAATATTTTAATATATTTTTTTGTGCAAAATAAACTGGAGCGCACTCATTTTTCTGCTACCAGCTTCGATACAGTAGCTGCCCCCACATTATGAAGCGATTGAACTGAGTGGATCCACCCATCCTTAATCTACTGGATGAGTTTAACTCCCGCTGGTGTACTTCCTCTCTCCTGCAAACTGTTCTCTCTATTCAAGGGAAATTAAATTAAGAAATTCACTCTTGTATAATCAAATGTTTCATTTGATGGGTCAATTCTGGAGAGGATAACTGCCCTTGTAAAGAGGGCAATGGAAATAGACTCTGCGTGACATATTTAAGAACGAAAGCCTAGTCATGGTTTATGAATAGAAATCTATTTGATTTTCACAGTTGTTATTGGTTTGGCTGAATTCAATTGTTTACCTGCTGTATTATTACTGGCCTCCCCTTGGCCATGATGAGCACGGTATTCCCGCACAGACAAGAGGAACGGAGGGAATCCCATGTCTCCCCACCTCCTCCGTTAAGTATGTTCACTTATTAGCGTCTGTCCTCCCTCCATGTGGTATGACACAGAGAGCATTTTTCATAGCCCATGACATTAATTGATGTGATTTGCGAAGGGAGAGCATTTAGTCGTGGGTGGGAGACTCCTAATGATCGTTTTCCACTTCCAGTAGCGCAGTCATTGACTCAATTTTATCGCAAATTTGTTGTCTTTTTTCTTTTCATCTCTGACCATCACTTGAGTAGTAAAGGAGGCAACAATGAGAGGTGGAGCAGGGCTGTTGTGAGGATCCGTGGGAGTCTGCTGTGCCTCCTGTGTTAAGGTTATGAATGTGGGTCAGTGAACTGATGGAGACAGCTGGTTTGTTACACAAGGAGCTACAGGGGGGCTACGCTCTTGGCACCGGGCACAGGGGCGTGATCGTAGGGAATCCCCTGCGCTCTGGCTCAGGAAGGCTGTCCCTGACTGGAGGCTGCCCCTGTGCCAGGGTGGGGGGCAGGCGTGGGCACACAGGCCCTCGTGATACTTGTTAGCCACTTGGCAAGCTCTCAATATGTCCTGCTACTGTTCAGTGTCAGTTTGTCAAGGGAAACAGTGTAACAAGGCCGGGGAGGGAAACGCTAAGGCCTTGAGAGAGGCTATCTAGTGTTGTTTCAGCTTACACAGTGGTTTGCACATATACTGTTCACACATTCAGCCCCCTGTCTCCTGACTCGGACCCCAGAAGATACTGTAGATTGATCCGAAACAAAAACTGTGATGAACACGAGAAGAACAGCATTGACTGAAAATTTAAGTTGAAAATAAAAAAAATTGATCAGCTCTTGCCATTTTTCCCCCCCTGTTTTTTTCATGGTGAATTACAGGGGAGAGGATGTACGTGACGATCATGTTGTGTGAATGAATGGATCACAGTGGAGTTAGCTGCTGGATGGTGCACGTTGCTCATCTTGCCTCCTAGAGCCCCTACTGCCAGCTCAGCACACTCCACAGTAATTGAAGCCATTTGCAATGTTGCAGTGTGGTAATGGGCAGATCCATGTCTACCACCCACCCACAGCCTCTACCATTAATCAGAGCTGCGTGGAGTCAAGAGAGCCAGGATTTGGTTGCTACAGCAGGCCTGAGTTTCAGCCAGGAGTCGGCTGCCTTAAAGGAACACTTTGGCGTTTTAAATTTTTGGCTGGTTGTGTTTTTTTTGTTTGTTTTTTAACAGACCCCAGGTTTTGGGTAAAAGTTTCTAGATTTTTCCTCAACTCCCCTCATCCATAAATAGCTTCTTAGTGTTGTTAGAATCCACTGCTATAATAGATTAATTATTCACGTCATTTTTTAAGCAAAAATTTCAGCTTCTCAAATCCTTTGAGGAGCTAGATTTGGTGATTTTCTTTGTCATATGTGATAGTAAACTGAATATCTTTTGGTTTTTGACTGTTGGATGGATAACACATAGAATTTGATGATGTTATCTTGGACTGTGGGAAATTGTGATGGGCATTTTCACTATTGAAACAAAGAAAACAATCACATATTAATCGATAATGAACACAACCATTACTTGTAGCAATAGCTGAAATGATTAGTTGATTAGTCAATTAGTGGATTGTCAGCAACTATTCTAATAATTCATTTTTATTTTTTTTATTTTTTGTGTCATTTATCATGCAAAATGGGAATTGAAGGACAAAACACAAAATATTTTTCCTGCAATGTGTCAAGTGAAGAATACTAACTGAAAAACAGTCCAACATGTGACATGTCCCTTGAGACTGAATATGGAGCCTGGCGGCAAGGCGACAGCATTTGGTAATAATGTTCGCTGCTATATTGACAGCAGGCTGTGAGCTGAGATCGGCAGCCAAACAGTGTGACACCGATCCTCAACACAGGTCATCTTCCCCGCTGTAGTATCTCTGAGTGAGACACGTCTCTGCTCCAGAGGTTCTTGGGTTGACCCCTGACCTCTAACGTCCACAAAGAAATTCCCCTTCATGATTCTAGGACTGCATCATTATGACTATGAATGTTGTTACGATAAAGCTCAGTAAAGCTCTTACCCTGATATTGCTCCTCTCACTCTACTGCGATGAACAGGATCACTTGGTTTTGAGTATTTTTGAGAGACTATAAGAGGTTTAACAGGGACACCGCCCACACCACTAAATGTAGCAGTTCTGTGTCACCTCACAGCAGTCCTGATCTTCCTGCCATACCCAGACGGAGAAGCAAGGTGGAAACAAAAGGGGAGGCAGGAAGACTTTAACATCGCCCTCAGGTCCCACACTATCTGTCCTTTCCATGAGCAGGCAGATGGGAGAGGTGGAAACACGTCTCTGCACTACAAACAGACACCAGCCTATTTTAAGGTCACTTGTAAGTCTAGGCATTTGCAGGGTACCAGCCAGCGTGATAGCACCAGATATTGTGAATTCGCCTTATTTTGGATTGCGCCCAATGATTGCACAGCTTTAGACAGGATTATGTGTGTAAAGCCTTACAAGCAGTGCCTGGTTTTGACTCTCCGTCTGATCGTTAGTCTACAATAAAATGATCTTAAGTGTGACATTCTCCGTTAGAGAAAATGTTGCCTAATACTAGTGCGAGGAGGGTTCTCTCTATGAACAAGGAAAGCAAAAGTTTGACTTGCTAATGGATGACTGTCATCACAGTCAAATCTGCAACATGATTTGTGAACTTCATCCCCATACTGAGTGTAAAGTTTGTTGTCCCCCAGCTTCCTCAACCCTTTCTTTATAATACTACTTATAAGGTGTGAGGGACTTTGTTCTGGAACATGCAGTGGAGTTTGGGGATCTGCAGAGGCGGTGCATTATCTCCCACTGAAGCACAGGCCAGAGGGGCCACTGGGGCCATGGCCTACAATACAGACAGGTCACTTGACTCCATTGCCCTCACTTGATTATTGGAGCCCTTTCTGCAGGCAATCCTCATTCACAGAGAGGACCTGGCAAGATTCAGGTACTCATCTGCTCATCTCCCAGTTATTATGTATCATCTTCCCCAGCTGAGCTCAGAACCTGACCTTACCTTATGGCAAACCCTGGACACACAGAGGTGTCAGTCTCATAACTTAAACATGTACAGAGGATTTGGAAGTGTGCAGGAACCCAAAAATAGTTGAGTAATAATTTGGCAAAACTGTCATTTTATATTTAAAACTTGTGCAAATTATTGCTCTACTTCATGATTTGATAAGAGTTAAATAGAATAATATATTCTGTAAAAGCCTGAAAAATCACAGACTTGAATGAGACAGTTTGTCTGAAATGTAAATGAATCCTTGTGATTTGTTTCTGCTGTGATGGAAGGTGAGTGCACTTGAAGTGCGTGGCAGCAGCAGGGTGTATTTCTTCTCCCTGATCTCCTCCACAATGACGGAAGATACAAGATGTGGCTCTCTGATGGCGAAAACAGCCACAGCGAAGGCCTGTAAAGCAGCTGCAGCCAGAGGTGAAATGCAGTAACGTTTCTATCCAGGCAGAGTCAGACTCGAAGCCTAACTATGAGACCATTCTCTCTACAGATTTGGACCATTTCAATAGTTGGCTTTCTTTTCAAAAGATTAACTTTCCTAGCCTATTCTTGAGCATCTGTTAATGTAATTACTCCACATACGGAAATACCAGAATGTCAGCGATTCCCTGGATTACGGAGCACGGTATTGTCTTATGTACACCCAAACATACACTCAGTCTCTCTAGAATCTGTTGAAGTTTGCAAGTTTAAAGCACGCAGGGTTTTGTTGCCTTGGAATGATAATTGTGAATTTGTCTTTTTTTTTGTAAAGGGAGGGGAAGCTGCAGGGAATCAGCGGTTGTCAAATTCTAAGAAGTGATATTGTCATACCAGCCGGATGGCCGTCTGGTGTTTGTTTAAAAGGGGAGGGAAGAAAAAAACAGTCCAGGCGATTGAATCATATCTTCTTGCCAATACGTCCTTGCGTTCCCACCTCCATCATTACAGCAACATGTTTTATTTTCAGCAGTGCTGTTCTCAGTGACTCACATCCCAGAGCCATGTGCTGCTCAGTTAGGCCTCAGATCCCTTAAACATGGACTGAGCGGTCATGAGAAATACTCTTGTAATGCACCAGAGATTGCACTCAGACTGTGCTGAATTTATGTAGGATATTGTTAGGATAAACACATGTCTCATAAACTTGTGAGGTTTAACTCCTTTAAGTTATTTTTAATCTATCTGCAAAACAGTGTTGTATCAGACTCAAAACAAACCATGATTTGAATTTCATTGCACCTCCAATTATCTGTAAATACTAATACATTTCTGTCTTTATGTGTCCTACTCTAATAGGTAAATGGGATCTCCGGGCCTTCGTCTCAAGGTTTGATCTGGGAGAGCCCGTGGCAACTGTGCAGTTTCTCACCCAAAACTACAAAGACTAATGGATGCTGAACTGCTTGAAATATCTCTTATATGTCAGTATTGTCTGTCTGTACAATGATTGAAAATAAGATGTTTCCCCAGTTTCCGTAAATAAACTGCATCAGTTCTTCAAAGCTTGCAACAGGTCGTCCCTCATTGCTTCTATCTTATCGCTAGGTTAGAGAGAGATTTCCTCTTTGTGTTACAGCAGCTGCTAGGTTTTGATGTTGCCCTGTATCTCTGTCACGTGGTCTGGAGCCGAGGATTTGGGAGATAGATTTTGACCTCACTGGGGATTTCTTATTAGTTTCCGAACGCTGTTGGCAAGAGAAGGAAGACGGCCTGATATCACAACTCAGTGTGGAAAGAGTTGATTCTAATTCAGGGGCGGAAACACGTCAGGGCCAAAAAAAGGAAGTGGGAGGTGAAACCGAGACCGCAACACAGCCGGATGCCGCAGTGGAACTTGAACCAAAATACTCTGCAGAGTGACAGGGCAGGGGGAGGGGCCGCAGGGCCTGTGGTGTATTGGGTGAAGGGAACTTACTGTTTGTGTAATTGTTTATCATATTTCCATTGACCACTCTCACCTCAGCTGGAAACATTGAGATGCTTTCAGATCCCTGATTGATTTTTTTGAAGTGAAAGCTGCTCTAACACATGTTGAAGTGTCCTTGAATGTAACTTTGGGACGATGAACCCGTTTTGAACTTTGGACAGTTGCATAAGAGGCTCACCTGGCGGGTCTGTAGAGGATGGTGTGGATAAACTTTTCAACCCTTTCACGGGGAGATACTTTTCAGACTTCACGGGTCTTTGTAGAGGGTGGGTCAGAGTACCCCCCATGAGGAATATTGGTTTCTAACCAGCAACTCTCCTCTGGGAGGGGTTTGTATCAATACCCCAGATGTCTGAAAAGGGCTGGATTTACATGAGGGACTTTGATGTTCTGATGATCAATCTTTAGTTGGTGGTTTCATTGACCCTAATTTGGTGTCTCATCAGTGGGCTAGGCAGGAGTAGGTAATGGAGGTTTTTGTTCCTTTGGTGGTTAAGCCAGCCTTGGTAAACCCCTATGTGCCCTCTCGATGAACTCTGGGAGATCATTGATCAAATTGTCCTGCATCTGCTTTGTTTGCTTCCCCGACTTAGCAGTCAAAGCAACCGCGTCCACAAACAAAACAACCAAAACAATGCACTTGAGCACACAGTTAGTCAGACGGTCCGTTGCTTTTGAACAAATGTTAAGTATCCGTTGGTTGGAATGTCGCTCTCGACCTTGATTTACTCATCTTATTTGACTTATGAAATCACATTTTTAACAATTGGCAAGTGGAGTATAATTCCACACTCATTGTAAAGCATGCCAAGTGGGAGAGCATTCTTCCAAAAAAACACCTACTTGAATCCATCAGTGCACCATTGAAATGCCAAGATTTGTACTTCCAAATACACTGTGCATTTTTTTCTCCTTTATATCTTGCAGATATCCTGCCAAAACAGCTGGGTTTTGCCACTCAGCTTCCTTGAATGTGTTTATTTTTACTCCAAATGTCAGGAGAGTTGAAATATTCTGATTAAGAAAAACTTGACAGCTGTAGTTCAACGGTGCACAGTATATTGCCTTCTCTGAAAAAAAAATAACTTCTCACATCCCCTGATGATATAGGAAAGGCATTTAATATTTTCTTAATTTATTCAAACTTACATTAATTAAAAGGAATTTGTATAATCAATTCAATTGCCTAACCGGCACTAAGTGATCTAATATGCATGGTGATTTGAGTCTCCATTCTTCTTTTTTATGTGCTGCTGAAGAAGTGCAGGAGATTTATTTCACTGGAGAATTTCTGCAGTTCATCACTTGTTGTGAGCAGTGGCAAAATGAATTTGAGTGTGGCATCTGTTCAATGCATGTCAACAGTATGGTCTGCTGACCACTTTGCAGCATTTATTTTCTGTGCGTTTGACCCCCAACAGACTGGTATTGTTCTGCAAATCTGACTGCAGAGATTCAGTTGCGGTTTAGTCCACCTGGAGATTTAAATTCTGCCTCTGAAGAAAATTCACATGAATATCTCTGTTTCTAGGCTCTATTAAACATGTGTCTACACTCACCAACAAGGTGCATTTTTGCTAAGGTGTCTGTGTTGGCCGTGTGTCTTCAATACATGTTTTTATCTCTCATATTAACTGGGAAAAATTAAACTGGATATACAGAAGATAGCAGTGGCTGGGCGTGAGCTTAATGATTTTCATGATTCTGTAAAATACAGGACCTAATGGGAATCAAAAAACAACCTTTATGGGTGTTACTCGTACTTTAACTTCATTTAAAGCAGAAATTCACCACTGTATAACTGTTAAGCTTAAATAAAAGGCTGTTAGTGCTTGAGATATGAGGTCTTTTTGGGATCATTTGCTTATTAGAACTTTATTATACGGAGATTGGTTAACCTAATTAGAAAATATTTCTCATTATACGCGATCATAATTACAATAAAGGCACTTGCTTTAAAATGTAATGTAAAATAAGGATACAAAGTTATTTAATTGTCATTTACAACACAGGTTTGTATAATGAAATTCAGGAAAGGATGTAAGGTTACTGTTGGTATATTTGGCAACAATTGATCTTTTCCAGCTCTTCGAATAACTGCAAGGAACAACAATTTTAGCCTTCCCCCGTGAAGCTTGGAAAAACAAAACTAATTTGACTATATATCCAAAGTGCCTGGTTAGTTTTCCACTGTGCTTTAAAATGAGCCTGCTGTGTCTTCCATGGAATCCCTGTATGCAAAGGAGCCCGGACTCTGCAGTCAAAGAGATGTAACGCCGCAACCCGTAGGCACTGCAGGCCAGACCCATGTGACCCAGCTCACAGTCGAGGAAATAAGCCTGCAACAGGTAGGTGTTCCAGCTGGGCTGGCCAACTTTCCAACCACAGAGCCACAAAAACGCCTCCCCCGAGGAGAGACACCGTACAGTAAGTCCTCCATCTCACCTGAGGGAATTCTCTCAATGCTTTGCATCCATAAACCTGACAGTTGAGGCACCCTTTTTCCATGGATTTCCCCTACTGCATTGATCAATCTGTGCAACTTCATGGGGTGGACAAAATATATAACACATTCGGATACAATAACCCAGCAATAAGTTCTACCTTAGCAGAAATTATAAGCTTATAATAGCCTGTATGTTTAAGCTATGTAATTTATGAGCCCATACATCATAGCATTGTTCTGTATTACATTATACTGCCATGCTTTCCTGTTATTTAGTCCAAACTGACTATATGTAATACATTCCTGGGTTTGTTTAATTATGTAATGGTATACAATTAAGGGCTTAATTCATATGTTCACACATTCACTCTCCAGAGATTGTTTTTGTTGTTGTTCAGAACGTGTTTAACCATTTAACTCTGTTTTATTCATTTATTTCTAAATGGGTTTGCTTGATAGACATCAAACTCTTAATAAGCTGCCCAGCAATTGTTGTGACCCATCCAAATTATGTTACAAATAGATATGTAACACGTAACATTAACAGCCTCTTAACATATGTACAACTAAATTTCAGCCAGATTTTAAGGTCTGTGTATCAGAAGATTAAATGGGGACAAAAATATAAAAATAAATACAACATCACTAGTCTTTAAATAAGGCCTAATAATATCTCTACATACGCAGATAGACATTGTGTAACTTTTAGTTTGAACTCTGTGAGCTCCTCAAGAAAAATTACCATTTCAACTTGTGGTGCCTTTTGACCTGGACAAAAGATGTACAAAACTAATACAGACAGCAAGTTTAGTGAGTGAGTCAGAATGAGGCAGATGATGAAGTCAACATTAAAAATACATCTACATGGTCGGACGCAAGAGTGTCAAATTTTGAACAGTGTTTATCAGGATCATTGTTGTTTATTTTGCGGATTGAGGGTACAAGACACCGTGAGAGGACTCTGCTTTGCCTGCTGGTATCATTGCCGCTCATAAAACACACACACACACACACACACACGGACGCCTGTGGTAATGAGACACACAAGATCACTGGCTGCTCTGTTTGTGTAAGCCCCCTAAACACAGAGCATGATTCAGACTCATTCTCCCACACACTCTGTTTACACTTCTGGTTCATTGAGGTACTATTAATTTCTCAGGTCTGAATATTCAGGCACTGACATTTCATTCAATATTTTCTGTGAATTTTGCATAGGCCTGTGTGTTTTATATTATTGCATCTACAGCAGAAAATATATCAAGTTCATACCAAAACTAAGCAAATCTTCACTAATCTATTATAAAGTATAGTATATAAAGTATAGTAGTATAAAAAAAGCTGGTAACTATGATGTGATAGTGATACATGTGAGACTAATGAATGACCCACAGGCTTTTAGTAACTCTTGGCTTTTTTTGGTAACACACCGAATCATAAGGGGATATTTCAGAAGCATTATAAGTGTAGACTTTTTTTCACAACTTGGCAAACTGGTGAAAAGCGAGCCATGACGCTTTGTCCACTGTCATCTCTTTGAACGTCTTTGACTTCCGATCACTTTTCCACTACTACTTCACCCGGAACTCACATGTCCAAATACAGACACGAAGGGGCGGGGCCGGACACTGCCTTATTTGGAGTTTCCACTTAAGCGGTCACTTGGGCTCCAAGTCAAAGCAAGCCTTTGGATTTACAAAGCGCATGCAATATTTACAAGCGATTAACTCCGTCAATTACTGCCTTTGTAAGAGTTGCTGCTCAAAAAGAAAACGGGGTTTGAACTCGTTTTCTGCAACACAGGACGTGTATGCATGCACACCAAAGCACTTACACCATCCAAAGTCATTTTCTATCAGCTCATTTGGACAAAAAAAGAAGTAGTTTGACAGTAAAATCAACAAAGAAACGTCTCCAGAACTTGATCAGCATATGTGGAATATTAAAAAACAGCACGTATACCTTACGTATTACATAAAGTAGTCAGCCCTTATAGCCACAACACACTCTCTTTCTCTCACACAGTTGCATAAATAGCTCCCAGTGTGCCTGATAGCCCAGGGATGGATATCATAATGTCTGACAAAAGATAGAAGATAACACGCTGTCGTGTTTTCCACAAAGACAGAGGAGAACCGCGGGCTTATCCCGACGCAGGAGACGCCGCTGGAGGTTGACATGTAGGTTGTTGTGTTTTTTTTTTTTTTTGTTAACTTTGTATCTATCTATCTGTCGGAGCCTTTTGCCTCCACTGTAGTTTCCACCGACTGACGCGCGGAGAGCCTGGCGCTGGGCGCTCTGTCCATATATGGTCATCTACGTCACGCAAATGTTCCATCCCCCTATTTAATACAGGCAAACTGGAGTCCCCTATCCAGCCTCAATAGAGCAAGTAGAGCCGCTCTTGTGCAACCAACACCACCACCTCCTCCACTGATTCACAGACTTCAAATTCCCCCACAAGCAGCCCATCAGCTTCCACAGTGATCAGATTAATAACATTAATAACAGTGATCACACAGGAGGAGATAACCAGCGCTGCTCGTCCTCCGCGGGATACTTGGATAGCTACAGCAACAGGATCCATCCCTGCTCCTCTCCTTTTTTCACGCCTGATCCACACCTGTGTTTTCCACTTTGAGAACACCCGCTGTTTTTTTTGTTGTTTTTTTGTGTGTGTAACTACTTGGATACCTGCGCGTTGTCCTTTTATAAATGTCGGACTGAATATAACTGCTATGACAGGGAAACTAGCGGAGAAGCTCCCTCTTACCATGAGCAGTTTAATAAACACGATCCCTGACAGTCTCTACCCAGAAGAGGACATCCCGACGTCTATGAATATTTTCACCAATACGGAATCTATTAACCACTATTCCCAGATGAACACAGGTAAGATTTTAATATACTTTTTCACGTGTGTGTTTGGATTAAAGTGGCTCAAACTGCGATGTGCGCGAAAAGGCAACAGTTGTCTTGGGGCTTTGGAGCACCTGTTTGCGCTCTGGCTGTTGCGCACAAAGGCAGATTCTCGTACTAAATACTTTTTCGGGGCCAGGTGTAACGCTGCCCACTGTGATTAAGATACACCTTTAAAATGACTGACTTTCAGATCGGCCGTGTCATATTTTTTTATTCTTTTTCTCCCTTGTCCGTAGCAGAAATGTCAGGATTTCAAGCGCAACGTGAAAAAAAAGGGCAACTGGACTCATATCAAAAGTTTTTTAGTAATAATCTTCTATGGCATTATATTGACGCAAATCCACCGTATTCATTGTGGTTTTAATTCTCCGAAGCCGAGGCGTGTTTGAGGAAATGTGTTATGAACGGCTGTGGAAAAAAAGGCTGTTTTACGCAAAGTCCTCTAAAAACGCAACCGGCTGATTGAAACTGAAATCTGTGCTTGTGACAAAATGTGTCAAATTATTGTGGTCAAACTAGAATGCCACTGATTTATTAATATGATATCCATCCGCAAAGATGGGTCAACTACTTTAGACAATGACTTTCATTCACAACTCTATTACCATGTCACAGATTGGATTTTTAGTAGGCGTTTGTGGCTGCTTTTCCCTATATGAAACATATTTAGACGCCAGGCCCCTGAACCATCTTATATTCACTATCTCATTTTGCGAGGCCGAAGATATGGATGGATTTATTGCTTAGTCCGGATTAATGTATATTTCTGATTAATTCAAACGCCTACATAAAGATGACTTGTTGGTTCGGCTCAGTGTTGGCATTAAATCAATCACTAATTGTACAGGTTCACCCTGAGGTGATGGGTCAATGCTGCACGAAATACACTAAATCTTTAGTTTCCTGGTGTGGCATGTGATACAGTGGCCACAATTTGCATTTGCCATGTCGAACTTTGTTCATGAATCATTTTTTATGTTCAAGTCTTTTTGTTCACAAATTAAAACAACACCTCAGTTTGAATTTAACCCGAAATCTGCCCCCCTTATATACCTGAGAAGTGTGCGTTAATTAATTATCACAGCGCCAGGTCTTAAAAATAGTCTGTGTAATTTTTTTAATAAGTGGATTAAATATAAGCGACGTCAATTTCATGTCATGCATGTGACATATTAGATTTTTTCTATAAACACGGCAATAAAATGTATTTTGTGCGACCCCTGACAGTCGACATTTAGACAAACTGATTAAAACTGGAACAGGAGAAAAAGATGCTGCAGACTGCAGGTGTTAGGTCTGATCTTGGTAAAATTCACATTATAAACTCTAAAATGTGTGTATATTTAATTTGGGCAAATAAAAATAATACAATTTGAAAGTATCCTGCTGCCATTTTACAGGTGGAGCAGGTGTGTGCTGTGCTCTTCAATACTGCCCCACAAGAAAAGAGTGATGACTTTATTTGATGCCCCTCGTTCTCTTTAAATGCCCCACTGCTCACCCCAAAAGACTAAAGACTTAGAGTAAAATGAATACTATCAACTCAGGCTTTTTCCCTAAATACCTTATCAAATTAATAATAATAAAATTACACAAGTCTCATTGCTCCTATGTACCTTGTGTGTTTAATGGTATTGTGAAATATATGTAATTTTGCTTTTGTGTGTTTCATTATGATTTGCCTTTAGCCAAATTCCAGCAGGCTGTAATTACTGGGAGTGAGTACATAAGCACCCCTGTGTATGATCTCCTGCAAATGAAAAGAGACGTCTATTTTAACTTCCGTTTCAGAAAGAATTCTTTTCGAATGTCTCACATTAAGCCTTCAGAGCATGATCAGGACATAAATGTATCCCCATTAAGCACATCTGCATTTGATAGTTTTTTATGGCGTCTTTGGAATAAGTTGTGTGCGTGTGTGTGAGTGTGTGTGAGTATTCAGTGTGAAGCGTAAGATTCTCGACAATTAAAATATCAAGTAAATTTTGCGAAAATGATGTTAAGCTCACTAATGCAGACATTGGATAGGAAACACTTAAATTTTTTACCCCCATTATGTGCAGATGTTCTTTGCTGCAAATGTGTTTTGAATCCTTGAGCGTGATAGATGTGGCGTCTGCCTTATAATCCTCCCTGCTGTAAAGAAATCAGATCTTGCCATTCAGTTTGGCTGTCCTCCTGAGGGACACAATGACTGGATCAAAGGGGGTGTTTAGGTCTTGATTTATGAGAGCTTGTGGGATCTGAGAGAGAGAGAGACACCACTGTCTCACATGCAGCAGTCACTCACTTAACTTAAAGGTCTGACAGCGCTCACATTTCTTCATGAACTGTATTGGACTTCTTTTATTTTTGATCTCTTGTTGGCACACTATTACAGAGACATGCAGAAAAGCTGAATTTCGGACAAACCAAGGACTGTCACTTCAAGTTGATATAGCTTGACAAAGTGAATTTCCTTTACTTTTTTTTCAGAACTTGTGCCACATTATCACTTTTAAAAGATTTTCTTCCCAACTGATTGCATTTAATATTCATGTTTGAGCAACCATGTGGATGATTTGTTCATGATATCTGTTTTTTATTTGCTTTTTATCTAGATAATATCATGGATCTGGGCATGGGAAGCGAGAAAGCAACTGCAGAGATTCAGTATGGCTCCAGCTTCCAGTCCAACCGCAGCGGGCAGACTGTCACTTATCTGGGGAAGTTTGCCTTTGACACTCCTCCGTCAGGTGGCATTGGTGGCTCTGGCTGGTGCTCTGATAACAATATCATCAGTCTTGTCAGTGCAGGGATCCTTGGCGTTTCACCATCGCCCGGCACGGTAACGACACAGACATCATCCTCCGCAGCCAGCATGGGCGGACAGACGTCAGATTTGGAGCAGGTATATGGTCCGCCACTGCCTGCGTATTCCACCTGCAGCGACCTGTACCAGGACCAGGTTTCCTTCCACCACAGCCCTGCCACCAGCACGGCTCTAGCCTACCCTGGCAATGACTATCACTCCACATCCAAAGCCTCCATGGATGGCAGCCTTTTCTCCATGATCCCTGACTACAACCTTTTCCATCATCAGGGAGAGGTTGGTGTGATGGAGCACAAGCCCTTCCAGACCATGGACCCCATCCGGGTCAACCCTCCACCCATCACACCCCTGGAGACCATCAGAGCATTCAAAGATAAGCAGCAGATTCACCCAGGTTTCATCGGCGGGCAGCAGCACCCTCCTCAGCACCACCCACCGCCACAGACTCTCACCCTCAAACCCATCCGACCAAGGAAGTACCCCAACCGTCCCAGCAAAACCCCCGTCCACGAACGGCCGCATGCCTGTCCGGCAGAGAACTGTGACAGACGCTTCTCACGCTCAGACGAGCTCACACGTCACCTTCGCATCCACACAGGTCACAAACCTTTCCAGTGCCGAATATGCATGCGCTCCTTCAGCCGGAGTGACCACCTGACCACACACATCCGCACACACACGGGCGAGAAACCCTTCTCCTGTGAGTTCTGTGGACGCAAGTTTGCCAGAAGTGACGAGCGAAAGAGACACGCAAAGGTTCACCTGAAACAGAAGGACAAGAAGCCAGCTGACAAGAGCAGTGGGGCAGCTGGGAGCCACAGCTCGCCACCCAGCTCCTGTGGGGGGCCAACGGTGGGGACGTCATGACCGTCACTACGTGCACATGGACTGGACCCTCACCATGCCCCATAAAGAGACTTAGGAAGAAGGGATCACGTCCACTATGAGATAAATAGGTGACTCTTTTCCTCTCTTTTACACCCCACTGCTCTTTTCAGTTCCTTCTATTTTGAGATGGATGCCTTTAGTTTAAGTAAGAGGGGAAAGGCTGCTACGCCCTTCTCTTTTAAGTAACTCAGAGCCTCAGCTACTGTAACACAGTGCCAACACAAAGAAGGGCACCTTGGCACATTCTGTCTAAAAGGCCACTGTGTATCTATAGGTTTTAGTGTGGATACATTTTTGTAAATTTTGCTGAGAATTTCTAATTTGGAAGGAAGCCAGAATCCATCATAAGGGTAAAAACAGACAAAATTACAATGGAGCTTAGTTAAAGGGTGGGTTGTCTGGGAGGTATGCATTAATTTTATTAGGCTGTTTAAAAGTGCAATTGGTTATATTTGTGTACTGTCATGGATACCTTATTAGTGGCACTTGACTGTCTTTTTGTTGTTTTATTTTGTTGAGGTGTCGTGTTTTTATTTTCTATTTGAATGTTGTTTTCTCAAAAGAATGTGCCAAATGTATTGTGGTGATACAGCCAACCTTGTTCTGATTATTGTGCCTGACATTTGCCAAACATAAAAGTGATATCAGTTCAGCACACATGTTGAGTGACAGGACAGATCACATTCAAACAACGTATCTCTGAGTTAGATTTATCTGCACAATCTAGATTAAATCTAGATAATGACTGAACTGGGTTACACAAACCAAACCGATGTCCTGTCTTGTAACCTGTACTTATAAAACAAACATGCCTGCAGCAATCAATGCCTTGCCAATACTTATTTATTTGTAGTCACTGAGAGACACTGTGTATTTTTGTTGCCTTTTTATATGGTGGCTTTATGTGGTGTTACCAGATATAATTTCTGTTGCTTTTTTCGAAAAGCTCACCAATACTGTTCATTTTTTTCAGTTTTCTTGAGTTCTGCAATTATATGCAATATATTCATGACATATGCCACCAACCCGTAAATCAAATTAACTATGAGCACAGTTAGACAGACTGAACTACTTAAATAAATGACACTGGGTTGCAAACCAGCAGTATATGAAAGCAAAGATGAATAAGGATTCACAGTGTAAAAAGTCTAAACTACTTGGTTTATATCACCAAAAGATGAGCAGCAAATGGTAAAAAGAAAAATTAAAATGTCCAAATCCATGTTTACATCTTTTCTAATACAGCGAGACTGAGACTGAGTTGTAAACTAAGGAGTTGTTGTTTTTGTACAGTATACAAAAATGTATGCAGGTAGCTACAGTAGAAGTTTCACTTTTGTACTCAAATGTCAAATGCACCATAACTCAGTATTAAATTGTGCATATATGTGCATGCCTTCATGCACACTATGTAAATACAAATGTCTGCATAAACAAGAACTTTCAATTGACTGAATGCTTGTGCGGAATGTGTCTTAAAGCTTTTAGTAATGTAGTTATAATACAGAATATTTTGTTGTCATAGGTCATTGCAAAATTTTTTGGAGCACTACAATAGTGCCAAATATGGTGTATTATCTTCCATAAAAGAAAAAAAGAATAATAGCATTTGCACCATCTGTACGCTTTAAAGTGATAACTGGTTTAAGGAAGCACTAATGTGTTCTCTGAATAAACGACAAGATTTTTTACATTTTGTGTATCTCCATTATAGTCAGAATCAGTTATTTCAATTAACACATCTTCCCCCATCGTATAGAAAACACTGGTTGTTCTCGGAGACTAAATAATTGGATCCTTTCTTAAACAAAACACTTTACCGGGCAATGTCAATATTTATTATGTGTGGTTCCTTATTGATTTTGTCCTGATAGAAGAAAATACCTCTTGTGTCATTCAATGAAACATTCTGCGGAGGCTAATCTCTTCCATTAGCTTCTACTGGATCTTAAACGTGCATTATAACAGCGTATACAAATGCACAGCAGTGACCACATCAAACTCACTGATGCCAGCATAATTGCTTTTTTCTCAGAAATGTTTTGTTTTAAACTTAAACTTATTTTTCTCCAAGACCACATCATGGCTCTGTGGAGCACAAGCAAAAAAGTTATAACTGAGATACAAAAAAGGCTATTACAATGAATTTATTACACTTTTGGTCAAAAAACGATGGAAAATGGTGAATTTTGAAAAATCAGGAGGTATTTACTTCTGTCAAGGGTAGTATAAGTCCCATATGTCAAAAATATTGGCACTGCTTTTACCAAACAAATCATTCACATTTATTCCATTACTGTTACTGTATTATTTGAAGAGTGTTAAGATTTTATTGTTTAAGTTTATTACTCAAATACCAGATCAACTTCTCCTTCTTTAAAAGGAACATTTTCTCCATCTACACTGATTGTGCTCTCTGACTATTAAGGAGTGTAGGCTCTATGCGAGGCAGAGGATATCTATAAATGTTGCTGTAAAAAAAATATAGTTCTGTTCAGTAGACACTGCAATCAGATTTAAAGAGAATATCGACTGACAAATGCAAAGGCCAAAAGAAAGGTTCAGAAAAGCAGTGCCACAGAGAACACAGTGCATGCAGAAATGAGCTTCCAAGGCCATGCTTTTCCTTTCCTGTAACAACCAGTTTTCACTGCTGAGCTTCCTGGCAAGTGTCCACTTATTTTCCAATTAATTTGGCCTCAGAGAGCCTTTTCTCAACTCATCTACATGGTTAAATGAACAGACCTCCTTGCACTTTTTCCAGATAGTTTAAAACGTTACACACCCTGTAACATCTAACTGTAAATCTGAAGTTTTGTATTATAAAAAATATGTTATTTTAGTGCATGGATGGTCATTGACAAATGAAATGTTCTGGGCTTATCTCAATAAAATGCTGAATGCTCAAATGAAAATCACAACTTAACAAACTTTAAAATTGAACTTTTTACACATTAGATTACACAGCTTTTCTTATTTCTGATCCCAGATAATTAACTCAATAATAACTAAGATTCAAACATTAGATTGACATTTGCAAGGTTAAATCTTGGAAGGAGTAATGGTCTCCAATGTAAACATCATGTAGCAGACAGCCTCATGGAGTCAGCACAAAAGAATATATATAATACATGAGGTGATAGGAAATACAAAATGTTTATCTTTATTGTTTACCTAGAATAATTTGATGTTCGACGCTGATTATAGGCTCATTTTGAATTTATTTGACCAAAAAGTATGTTCTTGTGTGCTCTTGATTTAACACTTTGCTGGTGAGAATGGATGTTTTTTTAATTATAATATATAGAATGTGGCTTCCTCTGAGAGAAAACTGTGTTTATGTTGCTTTGTGTTAAGGAATGATGCAGAGTAAGGCGGAGACTACACCAAACTATTTCCACATCTAAATGAGGCCGTGTAATTACAACTTTGCAAACTCAATATTTCATCAGTCATATCATCTCACTGTGTTTGTCACTTCTGTTTTGTGACACTTTTGTAATGGACAGATAGATTTTGTAAAATTTATATGATCCCTCTATCTTATTCCTCTAATATTTTGGTGGTTGAACAACAATACAGGCTGCACCATGTTCTTCTGAACAATAATCCTTCTGTGTAATGTGTGAATGTTATAGATATATGTCAGTGACTTGTTAAACAAACTCAGAAACAACCCCCTCTTAATAGTGCTTCTCCAAGAATAATTTATTTTATGTTTTTTTATGTTCTTTTGTCCAAAAGTGGGCGGCTGAACGCTCTGAAATTGGAATTTGCCTCATCCTCGTTCTCTGCTCCATGTTGGATGTGAGCCAACATCAGCAGCCATCTTTGTGCCAAACTGGGTTGCAGGGTTGGCTGATCAAAAACAATATGTGATGAGAACTCCACAGGAGCAACAAATCATAAATGTGACCTCAGTCCGCTTGCAGTGGAAGGCAGCCTTGTGTTAATTTTTGTGTTTAACTGATTTAGTCTCCGTGAAGTTGGCCTTGGGCAGGGCAATAGGTTTGGGCTCATTCATGACAATTTATAATTACAGGATTTAAAAAAAAACAACTCACATTTGAAGAGGTTTCAATAATGTGTAGATATTATAGGCTACTCATGTCATCTTATGGACTACAGGGTGGCTTCAGGGAATTTGTGGTCTTCAACAGTGACACTATAGTGTTCAGATGGAGTCGATACTCACCGTTTTCTGTTGTGTTGTGTTTCCTTTTCATTGCAGTATATCCTCATGTTTGCATGTGCACGGAAATGTTCCAAAGTGCTACCCTCGGATGCTGTGGGTGGTGCTCATTTCTTTATTATGCATGAAAATAAAAGTCACACTGGGTGAAATGGGATAAACCCAACAACAATTCAAGACAGACAATTGAAAACACACACTGGGATAACTGTTATGTTGGCTTTTTTTTTTTTTTTTAAGAAAACAAGGGGTCTTGTTTAAAATGTTGTGGATGTCTTTAGCCTATTTCATGTTTTTATTACCTTATAATAAGGTCCTTTTATGATGAGCTGAATATTGAAATGAATTTTACTATATCCTTGTGATGGGGAGATGTGCTCCCCTGTTTACCTGGCACTTCAGTTTGTTGTAATGCAATTGTTTTGTTATTTCTATGTAAGTACTTGAATAAAGAAAAATATCACTTGCCTTCAGCGTACTTGGGTCTCCACGTGCACGCGCGCACACGCACTGCGCAATGGGGCAATACACGCATTCACAATAATATAAACTACAAAAAAGGTGAGCATTAGCCGTCAGATATAACACATTATAACGTCGGACCAAATGATTATTTGTGTCGCTTTTGCTTGTTTCTGTCAGATAACTTCCTCAGAGGAAACGCGAGCGGCTTAGCTCCGGACTTCCTGTGTAATGCTCGCCTGTTGACTGGTGGAGAGGAATGAGGTCCTCGGAAGATAACAAAACCACCCAATGAAACCGGAATAAAAGTTCACTCAAAATGAGCTGGTAATGTATTTCGCCTGCCTCCCTAATTTAGCGTATTTTATCAAAAGTGTAACTCGGGAGTGATGCATTAATAGTCACGTAGAGCAGGTGGGTTGTCGACCGGGCTGTGGCTATTTCCTGGTAGCGCTACACAAACAGTAACGTTACAGTAGAGTTAGCGATAGCTCGGTAAACTCTCGGCTCACGAATAAAACCTCTCCTACAGACTTTTCATATGTTTATAGCAGTGTCTTCTCTAGTGAAAAGGTGCAAGCAAAGCCGTAGTTGTTGCTGACAGTCAGTGTCGACCGAAGGGTGTTGGGTAAAGCCGAGCAACGTTGTTTAATAGCTCACATGTACAGTAGCCAAGTGAGCTAGTTAACGCTAGTTTGGTCCCTGAAAACAAGATCTTTAAAAACATTTTATGGACTAATGCTATCGCCTGAAGTTACAGCTGCTTGTTTTATTACAGTTCGAGTAGACCTAGGTTGTGTCCTTTAGCGTAACACTGAAACTTAATCTGAGTGTTAGGTCAACAGGGTCAACGCCGAAACCATTTAAAGGGATTTGATCACCAGCTAACAGCAGCTAGTCCACTTAGCTTTTTCACATACACTTCACATTCATTGAGGGTTTTCTTCCGTGGAGACGTAACAAGTAATATGACAACAGTGTGATGTTACCAGCTGAGTATTTACTAGAAATTAGCTGGGTAGGTTCAGTGTGTTGATGCCGCTAACATATGTTTGTTTACTGCTACTCACAAAGCTGTTGTTTTCTTCAGGTTGCAGACGACTCCCATATGTTTTGTTTAAGTGGCGTAACACACGTTTGATAGTTGTTGGGTTAGTTTTTTTTTGGGAAACATTTGAGTTAAGTTTCGACTAATTGTCTGCTAGTGTGGAGTTAACCTGCTGGTAGCAAGAGAGGCCCCTGACAGCTAGTTTAATGTCAGGTTTTAGGGCCACAGTTGACACAGTTACATCTGCCCTGTACAGCCCTACAGGTACTTTAACAAGTATTTGATTGATACTAGTTGATTTATCAATTAGTCAGTTGACAAAATAAATTATTCTGCAACTATTTTGATGACCGATTATTCTTTTATGTCATTTTCCAAGTAAAAATGCCAAACATTTTCTGATTTCAGCTTCTCACATTTTAAAATTTGGTGCATTTCTTTGTCTTTGTCATTGTGTATTTGGTTTAGGATTGTTGGTTGGCTAAAGTAATCAATTGTAAGACATCATAATGTTGTTATAATGGATAGTTAGCACCAATTTCCATGAAGATTCATTGAGAATATACTTGGAAGATTAATCGATAATGAAACTATGAGTTCATTTTTTAACTCTAATCATCAAGGGATATGATAATGATTACCATACCACATAATGTTGTTATTATTATATAATATATAAATGTATACATTTGGAAATATGTAATTTTCTGTGGAGCCACAGATGATTATGGAATTGAGTTCAGTGAATAAAGACTATAAAGTGAATCTGCAAGTCTTCAGTAATCAGAGATCTTCCATCCAGCTGGTCATCTCCCTGAGAAAGTAAACAACAGCAATCAATAACAAAACAATAAAAATGTGCTATAATTTTCAGCCAAATGGCAACAAGAACAAAGTATTCACCCACAACAGAATATGTTTTGTGCGTTTCTGATTCTTGACTCTTCTTCCAGACAAGTTTATTTAGATAACATGATACATGAATGTCAATTGGCTTTACTGGCCCACCTCAGCACTAGTTCAGACCCAACCCCAGTTCGCTCAGGAAACAAGGAAAAAGCTCTTTGTAGAAATAGCTGTAGTCTGAATCTGTAGCGTTGTGTACTCGTGTCGTGTTTCATACAAAAGAAAATCAACTATAACTACTATAACTATAACTTTGATATGCCTTTGTGTTGTCTTGGCTTTTTGGCAGCAGTTTGTTTCATGTTTCCTAGCCAAGATTAGTTTTCTGCTCTTGGAAAATGGTTGCCCACCAGGTTGAGCAAGATGTGTAATCTGCTGTCACCCTGTGTGCTTATGTTTGACATAGGGGATGGCATCATTGATTCTTTCATAGCCTACTGTGTGCGGGACCAAAGGTTTGCTTAGCTATTGAGGGATATTAGAGAATCCAAATGTTGGTAAGTTTGACTAGATCATATCTGTAGCTCACCATTGAACTTTTGGTGAGTGATTAGTGAAGTTGTTTTTAGTTATTTGACAGAACTTTGTGCAAAGAAATGGCTGTTTAGACATTATTGGCTCATTTGGTTCATTGTCCTCATGTCGTAGGCTGTCAGGGTATGAAGGCAATGATTGTCTACAACAATTTCAATTGAAAGTTTGCGACAACAACAGTTGAATTCTGTCTTGAATTGAAATGCATCCCTAAGACTTCAGCTATGACTATGATTGATTTTCACAGCTATGAGAAGGTTGGTCATACAAGTCCTGAATTGTGTGCTGCTGTTTAGGAGGCTTGAATAAATCCAGTGCTTGTTTCTCACAGTTCATGAAGGCAGTTCAAGAGGAAATGGGGAGAAACGAGCATGTACTGTAACAAACTCTTTCAGTGACGTGTGTGTACATCATCTCCCTTTATAATATGTTACACATTCTGAGTGTAATTTTCAGGGTGGACTGTAAGCAAGACGGCGTCACTCAGTTCAGTCAGACAGTCAATGGCTGGCAAGCGACGCTCCTACCAGCACGCACCGCCAAACACAAGGTCAAGAGTTGGGTGCTAGACCAGTAAAAAGAGTCCTTTATGGACTCTGCTGACTGATGCATTCCAGTAGGGCTTGCACACTTGCTTCTATGACGTGAGGGGTTTGACTTTGGGGTCATCATCAGAACAATTCCACTTCCCAACATCTTCAACTAGCCCTCTGTGCTCCGTGGAATATCCAAGGTCGAATGATGCACTGTCCCTCTAATGGCATACACATTTTGCAGTTTTCGTGAAAAGCCATTGGTTCTTCCAGTCGGTGCATAATGTGTCCCGGATAGAGGAGACTGTTATGTCTTTGTTCTTGCCTACGTGCTTACTTGATGGCAGTGACGTGTAGCCTATTACAGCAAAGATCCGATAGCTCTCTAAATGCAAGTTGACCAACTTGCTGACAATGACAGCAAATTTGTAACGGAGCATTTTCTTTTTTTTTATGCCTCAAGGCCTGAAAATGGCCAATGATCAAGTATTACCAACAACCTCTCACATTACTGTGGTTCTCTAAACCTCTCCGGAGTAGTAAAGAAGATGAAGAAGTAAAAGTTTATTGGTTGTGAAGTGAACTTTTGGATTCAAATAGTGATGTAACAAATACTATGACTGTAGATTATATTTATCAAATTGTCCAAAGTATTTAGCACTAAATATGAGGGCAGTATTCAGCTGAACTTCCCATGCCTGCAATCACTAGGCTTAGATTTGTTTTCACAAAAATGTGGTGCAACACATACGTTTTCAGTCTTCAGCAGTCTTGTGGCCATGCCTCTGCCATGTTAGACGCCAGTTCTGGGTTCACAGGACCCGACTTACCAATGTTTCTAAATGTGACAGCCCCTACAGAAATATTGCTGTGTGAAGAAACATTAGAAATGATTCTCACAGTGAGTGACTACCATCCTCCCTCTTTCTCATTCTCTCCCTCTGGTTGCCTGTTACATTTTCCCTCTCCCTCCCCGAAGCACACTTCACTCTGTGTGTTTGCCAGTTCTCATGAGCAGCTGAAGAGACTGACCACTTTCCTTTGGCTCCTCGTAGAAGTGGATATACTCTGAATCTATAAAGTTAAGGGCTCTTTTCATTTTTTCCCCCCCAGCAAATATATCCTTTGGTACATTAAAGGGAAAGTCCGCCTTAATACAGTTACGCTTGGACCGACTCTCTTGATGTCATCGAGAAACAAATCCCTTCTGCCAAAACGGAGCAAAAGAGAACACTGAAAGCAAACATTTAAATATATGTTTCATCGTGTATTGACGGCTGTTTGGAACATTGTAGGGCTTATACTTAACTCTTCCATTGGGTTTGTGCTATGGATGTCACACAATTTTCTCCCCGACACACCCACCAAATGGGAGGAAACACTAAAAGCTGTTGCCAGACGTTGTGCAGTGTTGGTACAAAACTGATCTGTTGGTACAAAACTAGAATAACATGAATTAATGCAAAGTCACTTTGAAATGAACACTAGTGCACTAGGACATATAAAACACCGAATCAACAAAGTGGCAGTATACTGTCCAACTTCTACGTGTCCTTTTACTTATGAGTCATGTGATGTTCCCTTGAATTTCAGTTGTACAATTGTTCATTGTTTAAATGGACACACACTGCTGTTTGGCATATTTGTTAGATAAACTTTATTTATTCAGGAAGTCTCACTGACATCAAAATATCTTTTACAAGATAGACCTAAGACCAATTACGTACAACATCCTAATAGTACAATTCAGTGGCACAAAGCAGTCATCACATGTACAGACACACTAATTAAAACAATCCCAAATATTATCAGCTAGAAAGCCTTTAATGTCCCTCAACGGAATGAGCGTCTCCAATTTGTTTTTGCAATTCATTCCAGTAGCAAGGTGCATATAACCTATTAGTATAAAACACACAAATCAATCCACACTTAAATCTCACACTAAAACTGATGTTGCAAGATGTTGTCTGGCTGTGCGAGGCGGTTTCTCCTTATTGTAATTCAGGGAGAGTGCTAATTGGTCTCCAGCCTAAGTTTACATTCAAAGAACTCTTTGTATTTTGGAAAAGGAACTGCTAGATATACGTAAGTGTTGCACCTAATGTGACGTTATCGGTCACTAATCAGGTAATCAGAGAAAGGTGAGTCACATAAGATGGCAGTGAGTAATTTCTGTGGTTTTTTTCCGTGTTGGCTCACCCAGATGATGACACAATGGGTGAAACTACTTTTCGGAGCCAAAAGCAACTAATTTTGTGTAGAGTAATCTGTTTGTATTTTAATCAATAAAGGATTAATTCAAAACTTCAGTTAAGATAAGGACAATTGGTGTCTGATACAAACTAAAGCACAGCATCAACACAGAGCAAGTAAATCAAAGGAAATGATACCTGAGCCACGAGTGAAACCCATTTTTTTTTTCTTCTTTTTTTACTAGATTAATCCTGCTGTTATGTGACCATGTTGAGTTTTGTGATTGAGCTGTCATCAAAAGGATCTTCCCCACACATCAGTAGCATTCCCTGGTTGCTCAACGAGGCCCTACATCACACCCTCTCTTTTCCATCTCATTAGTCTACACACCTTTCTTTTGACGCAGCTGCTGCCTCACCCTGCCTGTCAGCGGCAACTGTCCATCATATAGCTTAGATTTCAGGCTATTAGTGCCACATCAATGACAACCTACAGCCAAGCACATTGGCAAGGCAGTGTATTCTGTCTCATAGATTCCCAAAGCACTCTGATGCTCGGCAGCAACTTATTCAGGCAAAGGAAAGGTTTTGAAATTGGGATAAAAGATTGTGTTTTAACTAAGAAGGAACAGGTTTCTTTTACTTTTTCCCAAACTATAGTCAGGATGTCAGTGTGTTTGTCTTTCAAGAGTGAAGAAAAGTTTGTATTTCATTCTGAGAATTAGGTGCAGCTACTGCAGTTACACTTAACCACATGACATGTTTTGTTTTATGTTTGATTTGTAGCACTGGTCTCAAGTTTTCTTTTAAGAGGAAGTCATTGTCCTGGCTGTACCCCTTTAAGTCCCAATATATCAGGGTTTCTGCCTGACAAATGGGCATAGTATTTGTCTGATATACAACATAGCACGCATCTGTGTTTGATTGCCAGCCGGGGTCATTCAGTAAAGCCACACTAAGAAGAGGGGACTGTTCAGTGATATCCGCCTGCAATGGGAGCCAGATGTGTTTAGTGATGACATGAAGTTAATGTCCATGGCTTTGACTGCACACTCCAGAGAAGCAGGAATTAACAGCTTCAGACTGTCCGTGTCAGGGGTCCGAAAGAGGCGCTTGTTCACCTTTTAGACCTGTACCAGCCTCTAGTCACCCATCATGCAACTGATGACAATCTAAGATTTCAGTAATCATTTCCCAGTTTCTTCTGTCTGTCACCTGTCATTTCTTTTTGTGTGATTTCAGGATTCCCTTCAAGATTGGACAACCAAAGAAGCAGATTGTCTCTAAAACCGTAAGTCACTCACTAGAACAAAAGTTGACTCAATTAACTCATTACTCAAAAAGCTTTAGTGTAGAAAATTCAATGAAATCTCTGTAAATTAATAAAAAAAAATGTTTTAAGGCAGTATATGAAGAAGAAAAACACATTTGTGAAGGTTTAGCTGTAGTTGTTGGCCTTTACAATTGGCATATACAACATGAATAGTAGTCTAAATAATGTCATCAGAGTGCCTCACCCAAAAGACTTATTGGATGCCAATTTGTCTGAGCCATGCAAGGGGGCAGAGGTGGTTACCTTGAAGTGACAGTGAGTGGGTGGTCTCCTTTCTGGAGAAAACCACTTCCAGTGTAATGGCTCTGTGGCCCGGTAGTCACTGTTAGACTGGGTTTCCAGCTTCCTGTGCCATCCTAGACAAAAACCAGGGAGTGGGTTAGAGGCAGCCCAGTTAGATGATCCACTAGCGACAAAGTGTCAGCTGCCTTCCTCGTTGTTTTGGCCACTGTGTTTAAATCCAGGAGCCCACAGGACCACAAGACAGGAACCCATGCTGCCTCTGTAACCTGCTTGGCATATTTTAGAGACATGGTTGGACAAATGATCTTAACCCTTGTTGACCCTGGGAACTTGATGTACTACTGTATTTTATCTGCACTTCCACTGAAACCCAGTGTTACAGTTCCTAAGCTATGGACTAGGTGTCATAAAAAGTTCCTGTTTCTGAGAAAGTACATGGCCCAGTAACTATTGTGGTAAAGGTAAAGGAGTAGACCACTGTACAATGGTTGAGTGGTAACACAAGCCTTGAAACTACGACAGCTTATGTACGCACAGGTTGCTCGTACAGTATGTGTAAACAGGAATTTTGTTGCCTAACAAATTTAGGAATCACAGAATTTGACATGAAATGTGTTTTTCTTTTAGGTTGAAAGAGACTTTGAGCGAGAATATGACAAACTCCAAAAGTAAGTTTAACCTAACCTTACCCCTCAACCCCTACTTTGTGTGTTTAAGGTCCATGTATGTGTGTAAAATGTTTGTTTTTTGGTGGCCTCAATTGGGTGAAAGGGGATTTCTCGTACACTATATCTTTGCACACATATTGTTTTTTTTTGGAAGTACAGCTAAGTAAACTCTCCTTATCAACATTGAATTTCCAGAGAAGATAAAAATGAAATTAGGAATAGCTTTTAGCTTTTTATAGCTTCTACTATGATGTGTATTTATAAACCCACTGCTGTGTAATGTCCAAATTGGGGTGTGTGAGGCAGCCCCCCCTTGTATTCCTTTGTTAATTGTAAGAATGACAGTAACTAAAGCTATGTTACTGCTGTAAGTGTTTGTATTATTTATCATGAATTATATATCAGTTATCGTGCATTCCCTAGCCAGAGAGCTCTGAATTAAGAAATATGTTCCAGCCACATGTAATGAATATGTTGGAAATCTGAAAACATTGGGAGATCTTTTCACAAATGTATGCATGTTGGCCCAAAATTAGATTGTTGTTGTGTGTTATTGTGTACTTTTACTTAACATGTAGGTATTTTGGTTTTACATGTTTACAAAGCACTCTGAGAAACTAACACTTAACATGAGCCTTCATTGTACATACAGTTTCTTTATCCCACACAGTTTGTCAATCCCCGCTGTGTTTGGTCCCTTTTTTTTTTCTCAACATTAAACTGTGAAAGGACCCACATTTGAGCTATGGTGGAGCCTGAAATTAGAAATTGTGAAAGAGAGCTTATTTTCTGTTAGAAAAACCTCTAGTATCCTAGATTTAAGTTAGAAGTTATAATTGTATGCAGTTTCCTGTAAATGCACCATTAGTGTTCATAAATGTGTTGAGAAAAAAGTCCAAGAATTTCAATAATTTGCAGAGGCTAACACTCTCAGGGCCTTTTACGAGTAACTAAAAAGCTAATTTATACATCTGTTGACAGATATTATTCAACCAGCCTTCTTCAAATTGAGTAACATGATCTCAGTATTTCTATGAAACATATGAGAGAGGGGTTCAGAACGCTTAAACACCAAAAGTCAGAGCTCAGAACATTCGGGCCTTCTCTCACTGTAAGGCAGAGGTTATAGAAACTCCCCGAGGGCCCCGCAGAATGAGTGGGAGCACCATTTTCCTCTCAGGTTTTGTTGAGTAGGAGGGCCCATTATCAGGAAGGTGTGGTGCCAATAGACCTTATAGATGAGTCAGAGCAGCAGGCATGTACAGACATTCAGGTTCTCCACCCTGGAGATCCATATCAACAAGTTCTGGTGCATCTTTGACCTAAATATACTTGGTACGCTTCACTGCCATTCCTGTTTCTGACAAAAGATGGAATTTTACAAAACATTTTACATATATATATATATATATATATATATATTCACAATTGGCAAATATGAACTAATCTTTTGGCCTGGGTTATTTGTCTGTTTAGCTCTAAGCTCGACACACAAAAACATATAATCAGTACATGACAGGCTCATATGATTTAGAACTTGAACTTGAGACAAATACTGGCAGACTTATTGATATGATGGATGATGTATAACGTTAAAAGTTACTTACAAATGAACTTGCTACAAACTCGCTCCTCTTCATCATCATACATCAGCTGGCCCCTGTTGGTCCGCTCCGGATCTGTCGCACATTCCGGCCCTGCTCGTTAGAAGTATTCGAGCTCCCAGTACTGGTGCGAGCTAGTGGCAGCAGCTAGTTCAGTTAGCATATGCAATAACGCACCAGTAAGTGACTTTCTTGTGTTACAAGAGAAAAGGTCCATGTCTGTGGAGTTTGCCGTTGTTTTTGTTTGTCTGCGACTATCCGATTACTGAAAAGTGCGTTGACTAAGACTCTTATTAGTGACTAATGATGAAGTCGACTATTAGGGGACAGCCGTAGATAAAATAACATTTGGCATGAATTATTCTACTTGATGCACACATGCCTGGTTGAATTTCTGATATAAATACTGTAGTGGCCCGGTTTAATGTACTGAAACTAGACAACTCTAGTTAGTAAACAGATTTGCACAATGTCTTATTATTATTATTATTATTATTATTATTATTATTATAATTATTATTATTTGGTTTTAATGGTGATTTACATGGAATTATACTGCCCGACCTGGTTCTGGTGTGAATGCCAGTGACAGATATTTACCCAAAAGGAAAAACGAATAGTCAAACATGGTTGAATGCCTGTTCCTTTTCTAGTGTCATGCAAAGGGTTGTATATGAAAGTCATATAAAATACACTAGTGTTTTTCCTGCTTTCAATAGGCAATGTGGCTAGATGATTGTGGCTGCACAGGTCCAGCATTGGGGCACTGGAGCAAGGAGCATCAGCTGCTCTACTAGGCTGCTCTATTAGCACCTTTTAGAAAGAGACTCCATGCTCACCTGGCACTCATCCAGAATGGCTCTCTAGCAGAGTCAGTGCTGACAGAGTAGGGAAGATGCAACAACATTGTGCAACACATTTTAAAGTAGGAGGTACTCTCTGAAACATGAGTTTCACATGCACAAACAAGCATTGCTCTCAGAGCATGCTAGTTTGTTTACATAGTGAGATGCTTTCACCCACTATCCCACAACCCGATCTCCATGATTGGCAGGGTTTTACTGTTATGCTGTTATTTTCCACATCTCATATTTGTCTCCTTTCATTACTCTCAAGTGTTAACTGTGTCAGCCAATTTACAAGACTATTTTAGTTTTAGTTTGTTCTACATGATGCCCTCCATTGACTCACTGGCATTCAGAACTGCATTCAAAATAAAGTCTAGTTATGTAGTATGAATTCTCAACTGCTTCTACTTGCGGCATCACAAAAACAAATGATAAAACTGACCATATCGGTATTTCCAGATGGTTTTTAAAAATGTCAGAGGCAATTTTCCAGTTGCAGGTATGACTCAAAACAGAACTGTCGTATAATAGCTGCATGGAAATATTGTCTCTTTAGGGCAGCTTTTAATTTCTCTGTCTATAAAACAGAAAACCTGCAGCGATTGTCTGATAATACAGTGCCCTGAACTCTTCACAGCACATCCATTTTCCTGGTCTGCATGCATGTTAAAAATGTGCTCACTGGGCAGCCTGGTTTTATGGAAACAGAAAGAAGCCCATTAATTATTAGATACTGACTAAATCCTGCCTAAAGTATTGCTACTAATATTGACTATAACGTGAGTAGCATTTGGTGCAATTGGAAATTTCTATTTCTATATACAGGTATGTGGAATGTAATAGTATATTTTGATGACTTTAGAGGAATATGGCTGATATGGCTTGTGAGACCCAGTTACATCTAATTGGTGAGTTAATACAAGAAGTTACTGTGGAGATTATTCTGACAGAATGTTTTTTTTCCTTTTGGTGTGAACAATAAGGGATGAAGTTACATCATTTACTGCAAATGACATTTTTGGAACAACCTCCATCTGGTCTGTGGCGATTGAGTACAGAATCCTAAAACACGTCAAGACAAACAAAAGCATTTAGAGGACAAGTTATGATAGAAAATAATGTTTTTTTATTTACCCTCAGACTCTGCATCTTCAGAGTTTACTAGCCTTTTGTCAGGGCAACCACTAAATGTTAAGTTGTTGCTACTGTTGACAGTTTTTCAAGACCTCACATGCTACTTTGTGGCAAAATAAACAATATTCCTTTTTGATTGTACTCTGTCTCTTCTGTGGTTCTGTCCATTAAAGGCAAAAAAAGCCTGGACAAACAAAAAAGGACTGTACTTATCCCTTATCTAGCTCCAGAACTCTTGGGAGATACTTATATGCACAATATTGTTTTAAAAATGTGATTACAAATTATTTTGCCTTTTTTGGAGTTAAATATTTCCTTTACTGTCCTGTCACTTGTAGATTGTTTTATAAAAATGGATCTGTGTGGGCTAATTCATTGTGTGTTCTATGGGTATATTAAAAGCTTCACTTATAAATGAATAATAATATTGATAAATACTAATGATTTTGGAGCATACCCTTTGAAGCCTTACCTGGGTTTCATTATAGAGGCAGCAGAGAACCAGTCATATTGTTTCATGTACCTGTGGGTATGCTGAAGTAACCCACCGTTTGTTTCCCAGCAGTTGAGCAATAAAACAAACTGCCAAAACTCTGTGTTTGGAGGCAACAGACTGCCATTTTTGGTTTACATAGCCATGTGCGTGTTACCAGTGTCTATAAATCTTGTGGCCAGTGGCCATAGTGCCCCCACCAGAAATCTTATGGGATTACACAGCTATTGTCTTGTCTTGTTTTGTTAATATAATCCCTCAAAGCAGAGATGGAAATGAAACCCCACCACATTCCCTTTTTCATCAAACCAGGAGAAGTGATATGACAGCAGTCTCAGGGGAGATTCTAAACCCCTCGTTTGCTTTAATTGATATAATGAATGGCATGTGTTTTCAGCCTCCATAGTCTGGTAATTGCCATTTTTAACACCCATCAATGGAATATGTGCAGTGAAATGATTGAAGACATTAATGCTTTTGAGCGCAAATGTAGTTGACAGTAACAAGAAGGATTCACTGTATTATTAATTAGCTAACGGATGTTATAATAACATTTTATGTGGAATCAATGAAATGTGTAATTCCTTCTTGAACCATGTTTTTTTTATTCTAATTTCCTTTTCTAGGTTTTTGGTTTGAATGTTTTTTTTGTTGTTGTCCATGTCGGGATTGATGAGTGGATGGAATACACTTTTAATTATATATAAATTAATTATGATACCTGTTGTGTTTCTGACTAATACCATTGTTCGTTATGCATTTCAGCCCATATCTCCAATTATTTTCAATGTTAGTGACGCTTTATTGTATTATTAGACCAGAAGCTGGCTGATAATAATTCTTCCTCTTGTCTTACAGGCTGGAGGATCAGACGAAAAAGCTTCACAAGGACATGAAGAAAAGCACTGAGGCTGATTTAGGTGTGTTCTGCCACCAACTTGTGTGTTACTGCCGGGTGTGCCATTGATCTCCACTTGTTCACCAACATACTTGATGTTGCTTGGCAGGTTTTTCAGAGCTAAAAAGACATTTGGTTGTCTTGGTTTGTTTGGAGGCGCGTTAGCTCTCTGAAAATTGAGACGAGAGAGTGCGGGTCTTCGCCTTAATCTTGTATAGGTTTTTCTAGGCTATCATGGTCTGTGTGTGTTAGTATGAGTGTATTTTTTTTATGCAATGTTCAGTTAGGGCTCGATTTGTATGCCTTGTATGCCATCTCTGCCTTCATTTATTCATGGTTTGTCGGGCACAGAAAACATGTTTACTCTACTTTATATTTGCTTATTTGTTGGTTTTGGTGTTGTATATTTGAGTAGCAGCAGTAGACATGGCCTGTGGTAAGTAGTCAGTTGTGGGGGTGGAGGAGCGGGGACGAATGAAGGAGTGAGAGGCTTCTTCATTTCCTCTCCTTTGTGCTCTGGAATATGGATGTCTGCATCATCAAAGTGTCATAGCTGTCAGGCCCTCATTATCGTTAATGGATTCCATCTGTTGCGCAGGTCCCGTCTCCACCAAACCTCTACTAAACAAAGAACTGGACCTACTCTGCATGTCAGCACTGCATTTAATACACTGCTTTCTATATCGACCATCATTTATCAAATCAAGGGTGGCGATACGCAGAGCTCTATTGAACTCACTGCCAATTAGCTGGTGAGGGACGATAATATCTTTTAAGGGCTACTCCGGTTCACAGTTTCAATTACACTAAGTAACAGAAGGCAAAGAAAGTGGCAGGGATAACTGTGCTTTTCATACTGAGAAATTGTTCATTTTCGCTTCAATCCTAGGTTATTACAAGGGATTTCACTTATTTGCACGCTAGTAATACAAATAATTAAATCACTACCCACAGATCACCTTTTGATTTTCATGACCCCATAATCAACATGTCTCTGTTATATCAGACAATGTCAATATCAAGCAATTTGCTACTTGTCAAAAGGAGGGAGATATATACACGCCTCACCACAATAATTGATTGCTTGAAAATTGTTCTTAAGAGAATCCCAAGGTAGTGTGAAAAGACTGTTCCAGATCTCCATGAAGCCCATTTTCACCACAGCCTCTCCTGTCAGCTCGTGTCTCCTCAGTGAAGCTCATTTATTTTGACTGTAAAGCCATAATCTGATATGTGCTCTGTGTCTAAACAAAGTGGCATGAGTGCAGATTAACAGTAATTGGTGTTGTCAGTGTAAAAACATTGCAAAGATTCTTGGTGCTATAGTGAATATTTAACACGGCAGCCAGCCCTACCAACCCCTCAGCACTGCGCCATTCAACTTTTGCTCTTTAGTTATTTCCCAAAAGCTCACTTCTGAAGACCCTACCACATACAAACTCATACACTGATGAAACGCTTTAAGCCATAGTGTAATCCACAAAAACTGCTCCCAGAACAATGTAAATAAACCTGGTCCTGAATTGGATTAGAATGTGTAGACATCTTCAGTAATCATTTATATGGACTGTAATCTACATGATTGTCTTTTCAAAAAGTTATTTAACTATGTTTTAACAGTATCCTCTTCTGTGTGTGTGTGTGTGTGTGTTGTCCTGTGGTGTGTGTGTGTGTGTGTGTGTGTGTGTGTGTGTGTGTGTCAGCCATGTCCAAAGCAGCTGTGAAGATCTCTGCAGACCTGCTGAGTAACCCGTTGTGTGAACAGGACCAGGCCTTCCTGGAGTCCATGACTGCTTTAGATACGGCCATGAAAAGGATGGACTCCTTCAACCAGGAGAAGGTCAGTCAGAATCAATCCCACAGTCTTTCACACTTTAAAATGTAGTGTTTTATCTCACTCTTTTGCTATCTTTCTCCGCTTTGTTTTCTTGGCACTTGCCATTGGCACTGATACCATTAGATTGGTATCGGGGGAAATGTCTTTCCTCAGACATACAAAGTAGGAAACTAGACTAGTTTTTTTTTGAAAATGCATGTTTTCATATTTGTCAATATTGTGCAGCCTGTGGACTAAAAACTATCCGTATGTCTTTCCTTCTGCTGTTTTTGAAAAGCATCTGTGGCATCATCCTCTATAAGCTCAAGCTACTGGTTATCAGCTGTGAAAATTGATGCATTTGTGACTCACTGGTGTCTAAAATAACTCATACAATGGAAAGGCCTTTTCCTCAACAGAAAAAAATATTCCCTACCATTAAATTCATATAAGTAACAAGTCTAGTGTATTGCTTACATTACTTATTGAAACAAACATTTGGCTTCTCTTCAAAACTTTTTTATTTTTTATTTTGCATTATTGGTTCACCCAACCCCATATAGTCAAGCAAACAGTTGGTTGTTTCCTCCTTCATGGAGAACAGCCACTGTAAGCAGCTTGAAATAATAATACTTACTATTATTCTCAAATCCCCTGCGGACAAACAGGCAGACTCAAAGAGACATTGCCATCCATAGAGCTATTCCGCTAGTGTGGCTAAAATATGGTCACTTCCGTCATCTACATTTTCTTGTTATACATTTAGTTCTGTTTGTATTGTAATGTTTAGAGTATTTGTTGATTTGGAGTGCGATTCTTGTAATCTTTGTGCTTTTCAATCTTGTATGTTTTGTCCTAAGGGGCAACCGTAGATGGGCAGATAGATATTGCTTTCCAGAACTCTAAGCAGTACAGAATACTCTTGCCTCGCTGTCTCACAGCTGTGAAGATCTCTTCTTTGGCTGTCAGGCCTCTTCAGATTATTTGCCGGTTGCACTTCAGGTTTTTGATTAGAATCATCGCCAAAGGTAGTTATAATGTGAATCATAGTGGCACCGCATGTGTGCATCCTCAAGGCACTACACTGTGAAGGCTAGACTTTTAAAGAAGAAAAAATACAGAAGAACACAGGAGATCACACTAAAGGCATATACCGATTGACTTTTTTCCATCTGTGTTTTCTTGACTCATTGCCCTGCTGTTAGGTGTTCTATGCTTTTCACATTTGTTGCCTTAGAAATATTCCCCTTTCTTTTCACATTTAGATGTGTACCAGAATGATTTCATAACCTTTTACACAACAATGATCTAACTAGGTGGAGAAAATGAATACCTTTCTAGAAAGTGCATTTTTTAATCCCCCATGGTTAAATTGTAGTGTAGTGTCTTGGGAATAGCACACCATCTGGATTTGTATATATGGGGTTGAGTGGACATGATTTATATTTTCTGCAAAACCTCATGAACTGGCCCCAATTTCCATAGAAAATCAAACCGTTACCTTTCCCCCAAGATATGTGAGTGAAGCAGTGTCTATGCTACGACCCAAACTCTCTTATCATTAAAACTGATTGAATCCATTTTGAAATATATTGTCAATCTAAGTAGCATGAGTTGATTACTCGATTTGTATTTTAAGCACAATGAGTTTTCTTTATACTTTTTATACTTTTTCAATACTTAAATCATCGTATTGAATGTTAAATTTGCTAAACGTGCAAGGGGGAGTTTAAGCAACTATAGTGTAGCAGTCACTTTTGTTTCTTTCTTTTCTTCTTCAGCTTAAACATACCAGTCTTTTAGACGGGCTCTGCTCACAGCTCATCAAATTTTACAGGAGCAATTTTGAGTGACTAGACAAAGTAGAATGTGGGTTGGATGGAGCGTGTGGGTTTGTGACCCGAGGTGCGTATGTTCCAGGACTTGGCTTGGTCTAGTGCCCAGGAGTGCACTCCTGCCAGTTTGACTGTTTTCAGTATAGACTAACTTTTACATTCTTCAGATTTGACACAATATCAAATTTTCTTTTTTACATTTTCCTTCAAATTCGAAATTGAAGACTTTTCACCAGCACACAGTTGATTGTCAACAGGGATGTTGGGTTCTAATCCACCTGATAGGTCAGGCCATTGCTGGATCCAGCTTGAGCTTGCACAGTCCTCCTCTGTACCCTCATCCACTTGGTCATCTCTCATTTTAATGTGATTTTGTATTTTTACATTTTAAACAGTCCCTAGTAGCAAAAGGCACAGCTCGCCTTTATAGTGTGTAGTTGTGATTCTATTTTCTGGCTCCATGCTGTGTAGTTTTCCTCTTTGGCCCTGTGACTGGGATGTGTTTGACAGTGATTCAGCTAGGCAGCACAGTTTTTCACTTGTGGAGGACAACAGTCACCAACTGTATTGACGTGGTTGTATTTTTTTTAACACACTTTCATCCACAGTGGATTTTGACAGCTAGGTCACACCTGATTTTCTCTGCACTTCTTTCAGTCTTACTAAATAAAACTCCTTGGCTTAACACAATGTTCAGTTCCAGGTTTGGGCAGGGCTGTGTGGCTAAAAGTGAGCTAAAGGCAAAATAGTGATTGCGAGCACTTTCTGGTCAGTCTGCTATGTGGAATATCACCTCAGGTTTGCTAGGTGTTTAAAATCCAGCAGAGCTCACTCGAACACTGCTCGAGCTTCTCCCTTCAAGCTGACTGTTGATTCTGACGGCACCAACAGCAAACCCTATTGCTCCAGCAAAACAGACACAAAAGCATCCACCCTTTGCTCTTCTCCGTGTTGAGACGAGATGTTCTGCCGCAGGGCCCGCAAGTGAGAGAGCCAGCAGATAAAACGTGCAGTGATAATGAAGGCAGCAGTGGCCCAGGTCTGTGTGTTTATTTCTGGGGCTGAGGAGGGCGCACAGCCCCGCCGGCACACTGCTGCCGAAGCTGAGCCCCAGTGTAGATGGCGGCAGCGCAGTAGAGGATGCTCCGTTTGGAGGGATATTGATTTCCTCTGCGATCTGTGTGTATTTTTGGGAGGCCTGTGTGCCAGGATGGCCTCTGCCCCGTGACTCACTGATGGAGACTACTGCTTGAGCGTCGGCCTCAGGCTCTGCAGGGCCTCCAAGGAATAGTTCTGCCCCCCCTCTCTGTGGGAAGGGGCAGAGGGTAGAGGGCACCAGCATGCTTAAGCAAATCTGCCGCTGTTGTTCTCCCTCCTCGCTGCATGCTCTCACCTTAGAAGCAGCGGCGCAGCTCAAGTCGAGGAGGGGGGGGATGGTGTGAATATGTAAAACAAAGAAAATGTGAATTCCCATGTACTTATTTGTTATTGGTTCTCTGTTTTCCCTCAAACCACAATCAACCATTTTGTACTTGGAAATCTGCCGGAGTGAAGCAGAGAGTGTTGCTGTATGTTCTCATAGATGGTCAGGGCATTTTTACAAAGCACAGCTGCGATCTCGTTTCCTTGTTGTTGTGTGATTGACTGTCCTTCCAATAGCGAGTGAACATATGATTAGTGGAGCTGCTCACTGTTTTCATGCAGCTGTCACTTCACATCTCGCTGCTTTAAATTCTGCTTCTCTGTTCTTAGCATTTACTGTTCACTTGACTCAATTGCCTGGTTAACTGAGCTTTGTGTCATGCTCGAAGATCCAGTAGTAACAGTCATTTTGAATCTGCAATGTAAATGACGTTGGAAACTTTATTAATTGTGCGCCAACTTCTGTCGATGAGACTTGGTGCCGGGGCTGGAGGCCTCAAGATGAGATGCTCGTTTACTTCCATTTAACACCCCCCTTCCCCTCCTTCCCTCCCCTGTTGGTTCTGGCAACCAGAAGGAGAATGCAGGAAAATATAAACTGTTATTGTTAAAATGTTTGTTTGCAAAGAACTTTCATCTTGTAAGGCAGCCCACCCTCCACAGGATTTGAAATCAGTTGGGCTTTGCTTTCATGTCCGTCCCCTGACAGTTCCATCCTTTTGTATCGCAAACTCAATGAATATTCAGGGGTTTCTCCTCAGGGCTTGTGTACAATAAAAGAGTCAACGTCACAAAAGTTTCTTTGCAAGCCCCCCCCCACCCTTGAGTGCTCTGTTTGAAATATACACAATTGTTGATGTTTGTGCAGTGGCATTACTTAGCAGCTAATGAGCGAGAGATGTAAACGCTACAGTTTTGATGTAACTCAATTTGACAATGAATAACAATTTGTAATGCCACTTCCCTTGATATAGTGGTGTTCATTGCTTATGTTAACTGTTCTTTTTATCTCAGGTCAACCAGATCCAGAAGACTGTTATCGACCCTCTAAAAAAGTAAGTGCCCATCTTGATTCCTCATGTTCTTGAATTTTTTTTTTTTTTGCTATATTTTAAGGGTTGGCCTTAAATGTCTCAATATTAGGGTCAACAGTTGTTGCCGATAAGTTTAACATTTGTCTGGAGTAGCAGAGTGGTGGAGTTTTTCCACATAAGGCCATACAGTGAATTTAAATGCATTACACAATCACAGGAAAGTACTGTAAATGCAATTTATTTCAGTTTTTGTGGCTTAATGTTTCGTGATGTGGTAAATCCATATGACACTCTAGGCAGATTAAGTCCAGTGCCCAGTAACATTTTTACTATGTGACCCAGCTCTGCTCTTCACCCTGGTAGTGCATGACCACAGGAAGTCCTGCAGTGTAGTTATACAGGTTATAAAAATGAACTAAGGAGTGAGTGGTGCTGCTGTGGTGGTAGTGTGTCTGGAAGAAAGTTTATTTGGTTCTCATTCCTAATACTCGCCCCCATTTGAGCAGACTGTGAGTGCTATTCCATTCCTTAAGCCTCACTTTTTCAAACACACTCACACACACACAC